CATGAGACATGACGCATTTGTTGTTACAGACGAAAAGGTTTGTTAGTAAGAAAACGACATTTATTTTCATAAATTCCATTTTGGAGTGGTTTGTCACAATTTTCAAGAATTTCTTGATGAGATAATCTTTCAATAAATTCATTTTGTTTGATTATAATTTGTTTTTGTAAATAAGTTTATTTTGGATTTGCTTCCCACATTCAATTAAGCAATGACTCATCTTTTTGTATTTCCATATTTAAATATTGCATTACAAATAATTATAAAAATTATATTTAAATATTTCTCTAAATTATATTTAATTCTTTCGCCCAAAATAATATCTATTTTTCCTTGAAAAAGACGTTGATAATTTCATGAAATTATTTTTGTACCGTTCACTCATTTTTTACATGTTTTTTTAGGGTCCATTTTATTTATTTCAAGGAAAATGTGAAATGAATTTTTAGTTACAAAAACATTATTCCCATTTTAACTAATTAATTTTGTACCGAGTCTCATGAAAAAATAGTTACGGTTGGATGATGGAAGTCGCAAATAAAGCAAAGGCCTCCTCTTTCCGTCTGCTCTTCCCGAAGTGAGCGAATTGCATGTAGAGATCCATCCGTAGGGGCTTATAGTTTAATTGGGTCGGCTAATTTAGGGAATGATCATGGGTTTATAAGCGAGGAATACTAACTCCATTGTATGAGGCCTTTTGGGGAAACTCAAGGCAAAGCCACCAGAGCTTAGGCTTAAAGTGGACAATATCATACCATTGTGGAGAGTCATGTTGGTCTAATAGTTACCTTTTCTCGAAAAAATAACTGGGCCGGGTGGTAATTCAACCAAAATCTGTTCTTTGGTTGGGAGAAAAATCCGCACCAAATGAAATTTTGAAGAAGTTAACGAGAAATAGAATTGAATTTGGTTAAATGATCGGTCAACGTAAAGCAATTCAAACCACAATAATAATAAATAAATAAATAAAGATGAGAAAATAGAAAGAAAAAAGTGTTTACATTTCATTGCAATTTCGAGTGATTTGCCTTCTTCTTTCTTCCTTCCTATAAAGCCTCTGTTCCCACATCGCTTGTTTCTCCACCAGACCTTCTCTCTCTCTCTCTCTCCTATTTCTTCTCTCTCTAACAGAGAAAAAACTCTGAGCTTTTTTCTTTTTTTTTATTTTTAATTATTTTCGAAATTATGAATTCCCTTTCGAAATGCGATGCGAACTATGCGTCTCTTACGCCCATCACCTTCTTGAAGAGAGCGTCGGCGTTTTACGCCGATCGGACTTCCATTATCTATGAAGGAACTCGCTTCACATGGCGCCAGACTTACCAACGCTGCTGCCGCCTCGCCTCCTCGCTTTCCCGCCTCAACGTCGCTAAGAACACCGTTGTAAGACCTCTTTCTTCTCGTTTTTTGAAAAAATTGTTGGAAGTGTTAGACGAAGAACATCACGATTAATTAATCGTGTGATAGAGAGAGTATTATTTGATTATAAACTCATGATCATCTCCTAAATTAGTTGAGGTGAGACTTTCAAGCATAGTGACACGGTGCAAAATGGTCAATATCATACCATTGTACGTGATTTTAACAAAAACATCTCATTTTGATCCTTTCGAAATTTTTGAACATGGGTAGAAGTTTAAATTTATTAATAACCGTGGAGAGTCGTAATTCCTAATAAAAATGTCCCATTTTGATCTTCTCTAAATTTATGATCAGGGTTTGTATGTTATTGGGAGAGTATGTGATTTCTAATAAAAACGTCCCATTTTAATCTTTTTTTCAAATTTCTCAACATGGGTATGAGTTTAAATTTATTGACAATCTCAATTCTTGAAGGTGTCGGTGTTGGCGCCCAATGTTCCGGCATTGTACGAGATGCATTTTGCAGTACCGATGGCCGGTGCTATTCTGAACACAATCAACACCCGCCTCGACGTCAATAACATCGCGTTGATCCTCCGCCACTCCGAGGCGAAGATTTTGTTCGTTGACTACCAATTCATACAAGAAGCCAAAGATGCCCTCCGTCAATTGATGGCGGCGTCCCTCCCGCTTCCATTTGTTGTCGTCATCGACGACATCGACTCTCCCACCGGTGCCCGTTTCGGGGAATTGGAATATGAGCAACTCGTCCACGACGGCGATGTTGGGTTCACCCCAGTAGAGGTTGACGACGAATGGGATTCAATAGCTTTGAATTACACCTCCGGCACAACATCGGCGCCGAAGGGCGTGGTGTACAGTCACCGCGGCGCGTATCTCAGTACGCTTAGTCTGGTGATGGGATGGGAAATGGGTAACGCGCCTGTTTATTTGTGGACTTTGCCGATGTTCCATTGTAATGGATGGACGTTCACGTGGGGGATTGCAGCTCGTGGTGGGACTAATGTCTGCATGCGTAATACGACGGCGTTTGATATTTACCGGAATATTAATTTGCATCATGTGACTCACATGTGCTGTGCGCCGATTGTGTTCCGTATCATCCTTGAGGCTAACGGCGGTGAACGGCGGCGATTTGGATGGCTAGTTAATGTGCTGACTGGCGGAGCGCCGCCACCGGCGGCGCTCCTGGAGAAAATGGAGGCTCTTGGGTTTCATATTACTCATGCTTATGGGCTGACGGAGGCCACCGGACCGGCGTTGGTCTGCGAGTGGCAAGAAAAATGGAATATTCTGCCGGCCGATGAACAAGCCAAGCTTAAAGCTAGACAAGGTATTTTTTTTAATTAATTAATTTTTTTTTCATAAAAAATATATTTTTTATGAAAAAAACGTGAAATTTGAAAATTATAAAAAATACCCAAAATCGGGAAAATTAATTGATATTTATTTCACTATTTTGCGGATTAGGAATCAGCATTTTGACATTAGCTGACGTGGACGTCAAAAACTTGGAGACAATGGACAGCGTGCCACACGATGGTCGGACCACCGGCGAGATCGTCCTACGTGGCAGCAGTATCATGAAGGGCTACTTCAAGGATCCGGCAGCCACCGCAAAGGCCTTCCAAAATGGGTGGTTTCTCACCGGCGACGTCGGCGTGATACACCCAGATGGGTATTTGGAGATAAAGGACAGGTCGAAGGACGTCATCATCTCAGGCGGTGAGAACATCAGCAGCGTGGAGGTCGAGACGGTGCTGTACCGGCACCCACAGGTGGCGGAGGCAGCGGTGGTGGCAATGCCACACCCCCGGTGGGGTGAGAGCCCGTGCGCCTTCGTGGTGGTCCACAGCGACGGCGGCAAGGTGAGTGAGGCGGAGATGATTGAATTTTGCCGGAAGAATATGTCGCACTATATGGCGCCGAAGAAGGTGGTGTTCGTGGCGGAGCTTCCCAAGACGTTGACCGGAAAGATTCAGAAGTTCAAACTGAGGGAGCAGGCGAAATTGTTGGTTGGATCTGAGAAACGTGTCTCCGGCGGGAACAAGTCCGGGCGGCACGACGGTGGGCGGCAGCCGGATTACGGTCAGCATGTTATGGCCATGTCACGGCTTTGAGTGGGGCCGGTTTTGTTGATGTACAATTAAAAACATGTACTTGATGATGAAGAATGAGTGGTGGGTAAAAATTGTGTAAAAATTTAAGGTTTAAAACAAATTTACTTCAAAAACACCTTATTATTACTTCCAAATATTTTCACATAATTCACTCAAAAATATAAATATTAAAAACATTTTACACGTGGTTTTCTTACCTTTTAAGGTAAATGGAAAATTGACGAGTATTTTTATTAATTTAATCTAAAATTTATAAACTTTGTACCAAGGTTTGATATATAATTTTTAATTGTTTTTTTTTAAATTGATTAAAATTTCAAACATTTGAAACTAAAATAATAGAAAGGGCTAAATTTTGTAACATGTTTTAATAAATTTTAAAATAAAAGATGTCTACACAATTTTTAATAATCTTTTAAAATTTTAATTTTAGATTTAATAAATAAGAATGATTAAACACAATTAAAATTCTATTGATTAATTACTAAAAATAATTTGTAATTATTTAGAATATATTTAAAAAGATATAGATTTCGTTTAAATATTTTAGGAATAAGATATCTAAATATTTTAGCAAAAACTTGACGCAATATCTACCGCTCAATAGTATGAATAGATATGAAAATATTATTCTATCTTCGCAACCTTTAAATAGGATACAATATACCAATTAATACTTACAACAAATAGAAAATATAAACTAACTAAATCTTGAGAATAAAATAAAATATACTTCGAATCAAATCTAAACGCAAATAAGATATACTCCTTAACTAATATATTTTTCAAGATTAGGAACATCATATATTTCATAACTAATTCAAACTATAAATAAGTTACATTAAATTCTGAGATACTAGATATTTTAGACAAAATATTCGGAATAAATTGATTGCTATATAAATACCCAAAAATTCAAAGCAGCTTCGATTAGAGCAAATTGTAGTAGTTTTTACAAGATGTCTCGTAATATCTTCTCGATTGGGTGTTAACAAAGAGTACGAGTGTTTCCCATAAAACGTTGTATTTTATATGATATTGTCTACTATAAACATAAACTCTCGTTTAGACGGAGACTAAATAAAAATGAATATTTAGAGATTTGAGGAGAAGAGAGAAAGTTGCATTGGGTATTGTTGTTGGGATAAAAACGACAGGTCTTTATTTATATATATATATTTTTTTTTTGTCGCTGACTGACTCATTTGCCCTTCCAACTTAATAATCCAACGGCTCTTAATGCTCACAAATATTTTCAAATTTCGAATTTTTTCCTCTCTTTCTCTTTCAAAAAAGTTGCAGCATTTTGAATATGCTTCTTGAACACTGCGCCACCCGTTACACTTCCCTTTTCTTTTATCCCTCTCTATCTCTCTCCTCTAATCTCACTTTCAAATCTCAAAATCTCTCTCTCTCTCTAGCTCTGTTTCTTCCATTTCCGTATCTCTTCGCAAGATTTCCTGTGTTGGGTCAGCTCAAAGTCGCCATTAATCTCTAATGGGTGCTTGTTTGAGCAAAAAGAAGAAGACTTTACCTTCGTTTTCTTCCACCCATGTGCCTCAAGATCCACCCATTTCCTGCAATGCCTCCAAACCCATCATCCCAATTTCTCACCCGCCCGCCGCCATTGATGTGAACAGGGAGAAAACAGAGCAAGAAAATGGGGTGGAGACAGAGTGCTCTGTGAAGAAGGAGGTGTTTGTAATTAACCACAGGAAGAGTCATGATGGGAGAGACAAAAATGGAGCCTATTTTCTTCCAAATGAAGAGGAAAATGGAGGTGTTTTGTCTTCTTCTTCCTGTGAGATTTTGGAATCTGGAGATGTTGGGGAAAATTTGAAGGTGGGGTTGGTTAGAACTTCGAGCTGTACTAGAGAGGAGGTCGACGCCATTTTGATTCAGTGTGGAAGGTTGAGCCGGAGTTCATCTGCTAATGGTAATGGAAGGAAGTATTCTGGTTCGAAAAGAAGCTTTGATTTTGACCATTCTGATAGAGATGGTGTTAATTCTGGAAATTACGGTGATGAAGATGAAGATGGGAAGAATCCCATTTCGGTGGAGGTTGATGACGACGGAACTCCGGCGGAGAAACGCCATAACCAGAGGCAGCGCCACCGCCAATCTTCGAGATATTCTCCCTCTCAAGGGAGGAGGAGAACTCCCAGTAGGGAGAGAGATCAGAATCAACGATCCAGTAGCCGGGAGCGGCGTGTTAGCCGGTCGCCTGGCCGACGGTCGGTGGAGCCGTCTGCCTCAAATGGTTCGAATAATGGCGGTGGTCTTAGTAGACCGGCGAAAATGGTTTCAGTTCCGGCAACAGTCGCTCATTTGGAAATGGATAAGAGCAACAATGTCACTGGTGGTTGTTCTGGCAATGATTCGGCGACTGCGACCGCCGTTAAGAGAATATCGGTTAAACGAAACGTCGGCGAGGCAACCGCCATGGCGGGTTCGAGAGTTGCTTCATCACCTCGTTCACAGTCCCCTGCAAGAATCAATGGACATGTCAAAGTTTCAGACGAAATTCAGCCGCCGCTGCAGCAGCAGCCATCTCTGAGCCGCAGCTCATCAAGAAAAACAGAGCAATCTCCTTACAGAAGAAACCCATTGAGCGAAATCGATAATAATTCACAGCAACACAACAGGATTCAATCTGCTAAAGACACAAACAATGGATCAAACCAGGTACATATGGAATCAACACACATTTTCTTAATGATTTCAGCTTCTAAATTTCTTGAAAACAGAGTATTTTAATACTGATTGATAATACTTTATAATCTTTCAACTCCAGAAGCCAAAAACAGAGTCCAAAAGTAGCCACAAAGTAGCAGTTTCTCAAGTGAATAGCAGCAAAACAGGCACTCCGGCCACTGCAACAAGAGGGGTTGTGAATATCATCACCTCCACAGCACCACCATTGACAAACACGGAGGGAGTTCTTGCAAGAAGCAGATCAGGAAGACAATCCAGAGAATTTGACATCAACCCAGAAGTTCTTTTGAATCAAAATCAAACACCATCTTACACCAAGATGTTGCTTCAAGACATTCAAAACTTCCATCAAAAAAATTCCAACTCTGTTTCTCTTCCAGCTTGTGTAACCAAGGCGTGTTCCATTGTTGAAGCAGTTGCTGATCTCAATTCCTGTGCTTTCTCCGAGGATCGAAACAGAGACCCTTTTGATGATATTGTAGAACCAAGCTTCCACAAGTACGTGACTGTGAGAAGGGGAAGCCCTGCTGGAGGGGAAGATACAGAGGATCAAGAATCCTCCGGCAGCAACAGTTTTGTCGGAAGTGTTCAACAGCAGCAGCAGCAGCAGCACTGGGGGAATTCAGCTGCCTCATGGGAACCCAACTCAGCTGATTCAACTGATTCCTCGTGGAGATCAAAAACAGGGGTGGACAGAGACGAGAGCAAGCGGAGAACAGGGGAGAGAAGGAGAGAGTCTGATTGTTCTTCTTCCCATAGAAGTGGGATTGGGCGTGGCAGAGTTGGTGGGAGTGGCAGTAAAGTTCTTCATACAGTTCCTGTTGCAGCCACTGGTACCAACTGATTTGAATTGTATAGATTCTTGGCTGTGTTTGCATTTGTTTGTGGATTTTTCATCTTGAATTCTTGTTTTCATGCTGTGAAAAGAAGAATTTTAGTGTTCTGAATTTGTGTTCTGTTGCAAACTTGCAACGATTTGTACTGTGTTTGATAACTTCCACTCATTATTAGCAATAGCTCAGATTATTTTCAGTGTGATATGAGCAATAAAGTAGTGCATCTAGAGTATAAACTTTCCGGGGATGTTCTTGTTTTGAACGTTGAAACTTGAAGCATGAACATGATATTTTGCTCTCATTCCGAATTATTTGCTATGGTTATAGATCGTACAACAATGCATTCATTCGGTCTAAATGAATACAAAGAACACGAGAAAGAAAATGCTCACACTTGATCTTGTTAGAAATCACCACTCGCTACAATCGTATGATATCGTCCAGACTTTATACAAGTGGAGATGTATGGTGAGCTTCCTGAGGCCTGTAAAGCCCTCAAACAGTCTTCCCTTAACTGAAGGTTTTGGAGCCGTTGACTACATGATGGGAATCACGACTCTCTACAATAGTATGATATTGTCCACTTCGATTATTAGCTCTCATGGCTTTGCTTTGGGCTTCCCCAAAAGGCCTCATACCAATGAAGATAGTATTATTTGATTATAAACTCATGATCATTCCCTAAATTAGCCAATGTGGGACTCCTTCCAATCGTCCCCAACGGATCTAGATTAATAAAATAACAGGAGAAAGAAAATACCCGAAGTAATATTGACTAAGAGTTGATATTATAATATAAGAAGTAATATTGACTAAAGATTTATATTGATGACTTCAGGTATGTACACTATGGGAGAATAGAGGTACATTATAATAAATCATAAATATCTTTTTACTCGAGAGAGGTATTTACGCTCCAACTACTTGAAAGGCACTCATTACCGGAGAGAGGTGGAGACAATGACCATGTAAATAATGTAGAAGTTTGCATATTTTTTAAACATGAAAAGTAAAATCATGGTGACTTAAGCGTTTGAAAAGATAAGGGTATCAAGTTTCGAAGTATTTTTATAAAAACGTAGCGTTTTCGGTTGTCGAAATGAGCCATTGTTGGTGTGAGGGTCAGCTGAGCTTTACTGAGAAGCCGTAATATGTGCAGAGTTGCAGTGAAGTTTGAAGAAGACCCCTAGTCGTCTCTTCTTTTCACAATCAAACAAATCGGCCCTTCCAAGTTTGGTCAACCATAGAAATTAGGTTTAAATAATCTACGAACAACTAACACGAGTATAATTCAGTAACTGACTTGTTGTTTTTAGGTAGGTTTTAAAAAACGAAGGCGCCCCTTATAAATTAACTCACCATTTAGATGAATTTTGAATCAAATTATCTTTTTATCTATTTTGATTAACCATGATAGCTAACGTTTTGAATTTGAGATCATAATTAGAGATATCTATTTAAGCAACTTATGACAAGGACTCCACGTTTATACGAGGAATATGGTAGCAATTGAAAGATTTCTCCCCAATATCTAAACGGGTCTACAACAAAAACTATATTATCATTCCTCATTGCCATCCCCACCTCGATCACTGCCCCACTTGTTTTTTTAAATGGTAGAATTGAGTGAAAATGGAAATTGAAATAAGAGATAGAAACGAAGTATATAGGAAAGACTTCTCGTTCGGGACTTACTTTTTAGACATGAAATAAGAGACAGAAACAACGTAGATAAAGAAGATTTCTCGTTTCCGACTTGCCTTTTAGACATATCTAACTATAATTTAGGTATCACGGAAGATCGAAAAACCAAAGTGAAAGAAGTACACAAATCATTTATTGTAAACAGAGATTTTCTTAGTCCATCAAGCGAGCTGAAAGTAGCATCAACGGTCGTTGGCGGGAGGATGATAGCCACCCTTCCATGGGAAATCATAGACTGCTGGCTTTGCTCTCAGCGCAGCCTTCTCAACAGTTGTATACTCCATGCTCAGCTTGCCTGCAAACATATGCCCAAAATTAATTACACAGCCCATGACATGCCTTTAATCAAGAACAACAAGAACTACTTACGAATATGAGGCTTCTGAAACGAAGCACTGATATCCGCCGCTGAGACGGTAAAGGCGACCAAAAGCAGTGCCAAGAAGAAAGGCAACGCCATTGATATCTTGTGTGAACCCATTATGGTTGCTGCGAGGCTCTCACAGCTATCCCACCACCCTTCTAATTTATACCCAATTTTCAAACCCTTTTCTGGATTTTACGGTCAAAACGAATCTATCACTCCGCCTGGCCTCATTTGTATCTTTCATGCCTGTCTTCCACTTTCTTCGTTTTCCCACGTAATCTTTCAATCAACTTGCCTATATGAGTGTGATTAGCGTCGGGGTCATGCTTCTCCGAGGCGTGTTGTCTATGGTCGCATATCGAATGTCCTTGTGATGTCCCACATTATTTGAAGAGGAGAACAAAACACCATTTATAAGAGTGTCGAAACTTTCGCCTACCAAACTCATTTTAAAACCTTGAGCAGAAGCCCAAAGAGAACAATATTTGCTAGCGATGGATCTAGGTCATTACAGTTCCAATTATGCTTGTTCAGAACGTGTTGTCCATGATCGCATAGTTTTTACTATTTCATGTTGTGTCAATAGAGAACATATGACTGTTCACCAAAATCATGTCCATACCCAAGTCTAAAAGGGTAGATACAACTAGTTAGTCAATTATTTATATCCTGAGTTATATGTTATTTAAGCTATGATGTTTCTTTCTTTACTTATAGACCTATAACGTTGCTTTCTCCAATTCTTTCAAATTGTTTTCAACCTCACGTTTTTTAAAAATATTTTTCGTAAACATGATTCAAGCATATACGTCGACGTTGTCCGTAAAATTTGAATTTCTCACAGCTGACTTGTTTGCTAGTTAGAATAAATGCTCTACAATCACTGTATCGCTGCCATAAGAGTGGGATTGTGACACTTAGTAGCTAAAGATTTGTTCGATAAGTTCCTTGTCTTTTGTTTCGTTCATGTTTCTCTTATTACATCCAACAGTGTAAAACGGTTGATATATTTATATTGGTCTTACCCAATAATTTTTCCCTTTTTACAATAGGGTTTTCCTTTTTTTACGACACAACCAAAACTTAAAAATATACCGAGATTAAATAAATAGTTTGAATTAAAATATACATTAAATAAATACTCAAAATTCTATTCCCCAAACTTATAATTGAGCATTAATATCTTTCTTCATTGAAATTTAAACCATTTTTTAATTCTTGGAATTAAATTTTTCTTCCCTAAAATACGTTATATAATTATTAGTTTACACATAATTTTTTTTTACATTTTGAAATTTATTATTTATCTTTTAATTTATTAAAAACATGTGGGAATACTTATTGTTATCAGTTTTTTTTTTTAATATTTGTGATAAAATTGAAATTAGTTACATAAATTTGAACCCAATTATTTTTTTTTTTTTGGAAAGGATCAATTATTTGCATTTTTTTTTTATAAAAAAAAATCATTAAATTAGAGAATTTTTTTAAAACCTTTTTCTTAATTTCCACAAAAAAGTCAAGTTCCACCAACCCCAAATTGGCTCCTTTACGTTGACTTGTAAGTCTTCCACCTCTCTCTCTCTCTCTCTCTATATATATACATATATATATATTTAAATGACCATACGTCCTTCCAAATATATTTGATATATTTGTTTTATTGAGAGATCTCTTCCATGAACGAATTTATGTTCGATTCTTTTCCTCGGTTGCATACCCATTTTTGTGCAAAATTAACCTTTATTGGACCAAGCAATAGAGAGCTGTTGAAGCCCCGATATCTTCGTGAATTCTTCTCCTTTCAATGTCATAAAGTTCATGACATCCTTTGATCGAAGATTGATGGATTGTGGACGAAGAATTTAGAATTTTCCTCAAATCCATACAAAATAGATTCAATAAGTGTTTCTTTGATTACATGCCACTTTTTATTATTTTATTTATTATTCTTCTAAAAATCTAATTTTTTAAAATAAAATTACGATGGTCGGACATTTTTGCCTTATTAAGTACTTAAAATTCCTTCTCCGTCAGGAATTAAAAATTAGAAAAATGACATTTTTGCTTACTTTTTTTCTTCCCATCGTGGATGCTTTGCATGGCCCATTGACATGCCCATTTCCCTAAGCAAATACTTTTGAATCTTTCCTGTTGATGTTTTCGGTAGCTCCGTCATGAACACCACCGTCTTCGGCACCATAAACCGCGGTAGCTTCTCTCTACAATGCTCAATAATTTCTTTCTCGGTCGGTTTTTGAGCCAATCCCTCTCTTAAGCTAACAAACGCACACGGCGTCTCCCCCCAAAACTCATCCGGTCGAGCCACCACCGCTGCCTCATTCACGGATGGATTCATATACAAAACCGATTCCACCTCAACGCTACTCAAATTCTCTCCGCCACTTATAATCACATCCTTCAACCGATCCTTAATCTCTAAATATCCATCAGGATGCATCACTCCAACATCTCCGGAAAAGAACCACCCCTCGTCAGTCATCGACTTCGTCGTCGCATCTCGATCTTTCAAATACCCAAGCATGATCGACCCACCTCTTAGAACAATCTCTCCAATCGAAACTCCATCTCGTTTCACACTCTCTCCCGTCTTTTGATCCACCACATCAACCGCCGTCATCGCCACCGTCCTCACCCCCTGCCTCGACTTAAGCCGCGCCCTCTCTGTCGTCGATAGCTGGTTCCACTCCGCCTTCCACGAGCAGAAAACAACCGGCCCAGCTGTCTCTGTCAGTCCGTATCCATGAGTCACATCAAACCCTAACGACTCTGTACGGAGCAAAACCTCAGAAGGTGGCGGCGCTCCACAAGTGAGAATCTTTACCGGCCAATCAAACGGTCGATTAGTTGGAGAGTTAGTTAACATGTTCAGCACCACCGGAGCTCCACATAAGTGTGTCACGTGATGGCGGCGAATTAGGGTATAAATCAACGCCGCATCGAACTTTCT